GACCGTGTTTCTCTTTCTGCTCCCACGCAGCCGTTGCTGTCAGAAGGAGCCATGGGAGCGAGTTTGAGCTCTGGGCAGGCGCGGTCTGATCTCGCTCGGTTTCGTCGGTCGATGCAAGTGTGTATTTCACCTGCCCGTGGCTTTACGTGTGTCCTTTTGACCATTCCTTTCCCTCTCTTCCCTTCATCGGCGTATTCCTGTCCTACACCTCTCACACCCCACCACAGCCCGCGCATTCAGTCGGTTCGTGTCCCCTTGTTCTCCCCTCCCCGCCTCTTCTCTCTCACTTTCTATCCCATCCTGGGAAGAGGCTCCTACTCTGATCCAGTTGGCTGGCACCCCCTGATCCTCATACTGATCGGCCCCATCTTCCTCCTTAGTCTCATCCCTCCGCCTCGCTGTCGGCGCCCTCCACCTCCACTCGCAGCTTCGATCGCCGACCTTCTACTGGACGACGTGCCGGCCAGCCTGCAGCCTCTCTCGCCCTAAGATTGCATGCGCGGTCCGCTGGCCTCCTTGGATCCTCCGGCCCCGATCTGCCACGACCGCCTCCCGCCTCCCCTGGTCTACCGACCTACCCTGAGGTGCCTAACCTTACTGTGCCTTCTGCCCCCGTACCGACATTGCTCGTGACATTCTCCCCAAGAAGCCTAGCGCACCTGTCAACGAGCGCATCATGATCTCGCCCCATCCCGATTCCATCTCATCAGACAAATACGCCCGGACGCCTGCCGTCCATGGTGGCTTCAGCAATAAAACTAAGCTGTCCCCTCTCCATGACCAGAAGGGCTCTATCCCCTCCCTGACAAGCTTCATCTCGAATGCCGCCGCGCCATATCTCCCCATCGCCTTCCTCTCCTCTCCCCTTCTCCTCCTCCCCTCTCCCCATCGAGACGGGTTGAGTTGCCGCACCACATCGCGCATGCGAATGGCGACCTCCCCACGCCGCCTTGCAGAACAGCGATGGTCTCTCAACGACCTCAGCTCTGAGCTGCTAGCCCTCATTATCGAGCATGTGAGGCGTTCGTCTTTGTCCCGAACTCACGTCGAACCCGCAGCTGACACCAGACCAGCTCCGGGACATTGATCCCCCATCGGCCGCCACAAGCCGTCGCTTGTCGAGGAGATTCGAGGCAGTCGCGACCCCCATCGTCTATCATGTGCTGTGCCTCAACGAAAACATTGTGTCAACGGACGCCGAGGCACGATACCCTAACCTCTTCCGAAACGTAGCGGCCCACACCAACCATGTGGTGGCCCGCAGCAATCTAGACCCCTTTGGCATCAAGCGCGTGCTAGACAGGGTTCGCAGGCTCCAATCTGTCCAGTAAGTCGTCCGCTATGACAGGAGCAACCGTCTTGTCCCTGCTTCGGAACATGCCCTTCTCACATTTGAATTCTGCAGATGGGACTATGTCGATGCTGAATTCAACAGCGGCCTCTTGTGGTTACCTTCTGATGTGCTCAAATCGGAACAGACCAGACACCACACAACCAAGCTTCATGTGCAAGGATTGCCGCTGCGGGAATTCGAAGGCCATTTGCGTGACACCTACGTTCGAGCCATCCCCACAGATCTCTTGACGACGCTCAAACTAGCCAGCCCCGCCCCCCCCTTGACAACACGGCTCAACTCACTGAAGCACCTGCTGCTGCTCTCGCGACGACTCGAAACTTTTCATTACGAGATCGAGGTCAAGGTACCAACTTCAAGTTCAGCCCCGGTGAACGCATGCCGGCTC